ATACAAGGTTTTTAAGCCCCAAATCCCATTCCTCATTCTGTCTTAAACACAAAGGTCTATCTTTCTCCTATTCACTACCTGTCAACCCACTGGTCAGGTGTGCAAGCGGGAAGTACAGAAGCAGAAAGCTTGTGTTAGAATGTTATGTTCCTATGGGTGATTGCCTATGTTCCCATGGACAATAGCCAGTGTTCCCATGGGCGATGGCCAAACAGTAATTTTCAGCTTATATACAATTGATTATTTTTTATGCCACGCAAGCAAGCAGGGTTACACAGGCTAAAACTGGCAGTTAGCGTATGAGCTCATTGTTACAAGTTTCATGATTAACAGAATGTGGTTAGGGGTTCCAGAAACTAGGCCTAAGTTATAGACTTCCTTTGTCCAGTTTCAGGTTTTAATTATTCTTTAACCCTTTCACATTTCAACAGGCCATTACAAAAACCAGTGAAATGTACACTTAAATTGTACGATATATGAATTATATCTCAATAAAGCTGTTATTTTAGAAAACAATATTTCTTTAAACTATATCATTCAGATTTATATTTCAATAGCATAAAGTCATCCATAGTTCTCCGCATGGAACCTCTTTATTTACGCAGAAGTTTTTACTTCTGTACAACTTCACAAATATGATAAAAATGTACAGTCCGGCTTGGCCATTATGCCAAATTAACACCATATAACTTTTAAGCAAAAATGAAAGAAAAAAATAAGATAGGCAAAAGAACAATAAGAAAGAACCATGCAAAAGGATGGTTTGAGATATTTAGAGCAGTACCACTTCCTATTAAATGACAGTTGTTAGCCACACACTTGAAGACATTTTGAGTGCTAAAGGCATATCCATTCAACTAAAAGAAATATGAAACCTTGTTTTATGGAAGAACTACAACTGACATATGAACAGCAAGCATCTGGTAAGAAAGTATAAATGTCAGCCTAGGAAAAGAGAATACAGAGGCTGCTAGCTTCTAGAGAAGAGACATTACATTGAACTGAAATATTTCTCTTTGTGTGTATAACTTTCGAGTGTATATATGTTTCCAAAAAGACAAAAAAAAAAAAGATTGCATTAGAAAGCAACAGGATTTAGGATTTAGCATATTGCCGATGAATTACTAGTTTTAATCATATAGCCCAGACCAGCCTTTAACATGTAGAATCAGAGAAAGAACTAACAATGATTCAGACCAAAAGCCTAATAGGTAATTAAATCTCATGAAAGAACTAGATCGCCTCATAAACACACCGAAGCAGAATTAGTTTTTGATGTAGTCTATTGGAGCTCAATAATAAAAAGCTAACAATATACCACTTTCTTCAATTATTCACTGTCAGATAACTCAGGTATAGTATCTCTTTGTCAAAAAAAAAAAAGGGAAGGAGCACAAAAATTCTTTCTAGATGTTTACAGAATTCCATTCTATACTAAAGAAGGAATTTAACAAAATAAGCAAAAAAAGGTTAATACTCAGAGGAGACAAAATATTTGATACAAGAACAACAGATATATTAATCAGTTGTAATCTCAGGAAAGCTAAAAATAAATTGTCAACATGACGAACAACAGAAATGATTACCTCTGAAGAAGCAAATATATAAACCAAATGGGAAAATTACTTTTGGAAAGCAAGTTTCAATATAATTTATCTCTCAGCCCCACCCCTTTAGAATAATTGTCCTGGTAAAGGAAGAAAACCACTAAAACAACTTTTAGGGGAAAGAAAATGACCGAATTGAACACTAAAGAACACCAGAAACTAATGAAGAAAAAAGAATCATCTTAAAACACTTGAGAGAAAACCTAAGAGACAGAGGCTGAGATAGTTTGAGATGATCAGAATGGCTTTTAATCCACTCTACTCCTGCTCTATGTATCCAAAAACTAGAAAATATAATTCTGGAAGGGAGTAATTAATCCCTCTATAGTACAGTTAAAAGAACACCAGTCCAAAAGTTAAATGGCTTAGGTTCAAAATCTACCTACCCCTTGTTAGCTAGGCAACCTTATGCTCCGTTTCCTCCTGAGTTAAATGGGGATAAGAATTCCAATTATACGGCAAAGGATCAACCTAAGGATCGAATGAGACAATATATACACAAAAGCACGTCTTGCAAACGTTTAATCATTACTTCACATTTTCTTTGCACAACCGATGACAATCTCTAAGTCTTAAGTTAACATTCTTCAGTCGCTATGGGCATTTTTTTTTTCAACCAAGTTTCAAAACAAAGCACTAATCTTTGCTCAATTTAAACCCACACCACGGAAACCTTGGCAGCTTTATTTGGATTGAAGGACTGGCAAAATTCCACTCCAGGTGGCTAAGCAATAATAAACAAGGGCTCACTGTTTCATCACATCCTTACTCACTCTGTGAATAAATTTTTCTCCAAATTTAGTGGCTAATTTTGGACTTTTTAAATATTGCTATATTTTCTCCCCTAGTCACAAAACTTTAAAATACCTAAATACTAAAATAAAGAACATCTTAAAACTTAAAATTCAACATGTTTAAAGAATGTTATACCGAGGAGAACAAAATACAGTATTAGGGCACAGCACTTTCAATATATGAAACCATGTTTCTCTATCCATTGGCCCAGCCCACAAATTCTAGCACTGAAAACCAAAGCAATTTCCAGATTTCTGAGAATTTCCCAGCATGTTCTATATTTTAATAACAGACATAATCCTTATTGTCTTTAATTTTTAAGATTAAACTCATGCACACAGCATGTCATCAAATATTTGCTGAATGTGACGTAGTTACATATAATACAATTATAGAACACAAATGAGCTATCTGATCAATGAACAGAACAGCAATCAAAAAAAGCTCCAGAAAATAGCTCCAGAAAACTGGGGAGTTTTGAGACCTCACACATAAATTTCTGTACAATGTGATTAAATTCTTTTTGAGATATAATTCATATACCATAAAATTCACTCTTTAAAGTATATAATATAGTAGTTTTTAATATATTCACAAGGTTTTGCAACTATCAGCACTACATAGCTCTAGAACATTTTCATCACCCCAAAAAGAAACCCCATACTCATCAGTAGTCACTCACCATTCCCACCTCCCTTCAGACCCTGGCAACCACTACTATACTGGGTATATCTGGGTATTTGCCTAATTGGGACATTTCACATAAATAAAATCATATAACACATGGCTTTTGTGAGTCTGATTAAATCTTACACACTTCATTATAGTGCGATTTCTCTCCTTTTTTCTAATTAAAGTATGATCAAGTTAATGTTATCTCAGCAAGGAAAACATTTTAAAAAATATGTAACATATATGTAAAACATACAAATAAAGAGCAGAAAATTGTACTATGAGACTGATATGAAATAACAGATATAGGTACAAAGATTACTATATAAATGAATACACTGTAATTTTGACATTTTTCTCCAAAATTTCTGAAAAATATAATGTGATTTTATTTTATTATTATTATTTATGCATATAGCACCTGGTCTTCCTAGGTGGTCTCCCATCCAAATACTAACCAGGCCTAACCCTGCTTAGCTTCCGAGATCAGACATTGTGCTTGTTCAGGGTGGCATGGCCATAGACCATGGACCGTCGTGGCTCCATTGGGGCACGAACCCAGGAGCTTCTGCATGTAAAGCAGATGTACTAACCTCTACACTATGGAACTACGTCCTATAATGTGATTTTAAAAAAGAATCCTGACCAACATTTAGCATTTTCTAAACTATTAACTTAAATTATTATCATAAATATTACTAATTACTGTTCTTTGCTAATATAAAAAGACACTAAACTATAAAAGAATTTATATACAAAAAAAGCAATAAAAACCCAAGAAGCCATAAAAAAAAATATGTAAATAGTTGCGGTACTTAGGTAATGGGAAAATAGAGTTGTTTAAATGCATTTTATTTTTAATTTAAAAGTATTATTATTGTCGCTTTTTGAAAGGCATTTTTTAAAATATATCCAAAAATTTCATGCTTAGTGTTATAAATATGGAAAAGCTCAAATTCCCAACCCTTCATAAGATTATATGATTACTTTCATACCTAAACTAAATGTACATGAAATGGAAAATGACACTAATATATTGTTCAGTTAAAATAAGTTGAACTATATATATAGCATGATCCTATTCTTGTAAAAAGACGCTATTATGTAGGTATGTGCTTATATGTATATTAAAAAGGTTGCGAAGATATTTACAAACCGTTAACAGTGGTTACTCCTAAAGAGTCAGACTAGAAAGGGTAAAGAAACATTTGCATTTTATCTCATATATTCTTGTAATAATTGCCTATTTAATAACAAGCATGTGCTACCTTTCATAATTTTTAACCACCAATTTTTAAATTACTTAAATGTACCATCAGTTTAAATTGTTTTCTCCTAAAAAGAAAGAAAAACACATTAAATTCAATTCTTTCATGTGTCAATTTTTAATTATCCAAACCAAGGAAGACACTGAACATAGCAGCAAAGGCCAATAGATTATATTTGTCTTCCAAACACATAATAGGTTTTTGCAGCATCTTTACGCATAACATACTCCAGAGGAAGCTTCGGAGTGGTACTCTGAAAAGTCTAGAATGAAAACTTTGCTGTGTAATATCTATTTAGTAAAGTCAACATCACCTTTAATAGTCACATTTTACCCCATCATACTCATGCTTTAACAATCATTGCCAGTACACGTGGAATCAAAAAATTTTTTAAAAAGTACTCTGAGAGAAAACAGGTACAGATTGATACAAAATACAGTTCTTAATTTCAAAGAATAAACAAGCTGGGAAAATATTAAACCAAGTTTTAAGACAGTAGAGAAGATAGTCAGTTCCTCATTCGTTCTTTCCTTTTTGATTTACCTCTTAATGCTTCCCACCTGAACTCCAGAGTGAACTCACCAACCAGGGGCTCTGGGGCCCACTAGAAACGTGCAAATCAAACATTGTTGTAAGCAAGAAGAGGTTAGAATCATACCTTTTCCAAAATGAACTTGTTTAAATATGGCATGTAGCCCTGATTGGAGACGGGCCCCTCATCATCATCCCTGAAGTGCTCTTCAAGGGCAACGGGATCATGAGGAACCTTCAGCACCGTGCACAGGTTATGGGAAAGGACCTAGGGGGGGAAAAAAGTGATTTAAAGGCATCCACTAACCAGCACAAGGCACATTCGGTGTCTGAACGCAACTGGCTGACCCAGGGAGAGGAAGATGGAAAATAAACTTGCAAATATAGGGTGAGTATTGCTCAGCTGCCAGCTCCCCACTTGTTACCCATGAGTATCTCTCATTCCTTCCTCAGTTTTGGTTCACCTGAAACACGTCTCTCCTACATGTCTACAATGAGCCAGTCCATGCACGATCTGTGACTATAATACTCCTTGTAGTCTTTTATTAATTGGCCCACATTAGAAAAAGGAGAGAAAGGGCAAGAGAATGTGTTCAAAATTAAACTCTGCTCCAAGTAGAGCAGTGTCAGAGCTATAAAAGAAAGAACTTGGTACTAGGCAGCTGCAGCCGGGGGTTCCGGACAAGGTAGCTGACCTGGCCGTTCACAACCTCTTGGCTTCAGTTCTCTCATTGCTCAACAGAAGGGGCCAAGTTAATATACAAATATATCAAATATTAATTAGTAATCTCTAAGTGCCCAAATATCTCTAAAATTCTATGATGCTAGGCTATTTTCGGCACGGGTATAAAAGAGCATAAATATAAAAAGAGAAAGAAATCAAGGGCCCAGTTTATAAATATGAGAAAAATCAATAGCTAAAATATCTCAAGAGTTACCAAAATGGTTGAAATATTTTGTAGCATACCATATATAAAGGGTTATTGGTCTTGGCGAAAACCTAAGTGCATACTTTAACACTCAGGAAGTTAAATTGGCAGTTGGGCCATCTCAGTACTAATCTTGTTTCACATTAAATGAAAATTTAAAAATAAAACTTAAATTCCTATCATTTTGTGCATTCTAAACAGGTCAAATTAGATAGCTAAGGTTGTACTTCCTTAAACAGTGAATCTTATTAAATGTTAAATCCCGAGATTAAAATATTTCCTATTTTTCACAGCCCTACCCATTTAATCACTTAAAGAGTCACATTCTTCTCAATGAAGACTTACAATTCTATTAAGCAAGTCACTTTTTTCTGCATACACTATTTCAGTTAAGATTTTTTAAGATTAAAAAAATTGAATCTATAAAAAGAATATTTGCATATCTTCTTTCTATATTTGTTTTGTTTCTCAAAGCTTCATTTATGTGGAGATCCTTTTCTACATGCTCTACTGGTTTTAAGGAAGTAAGTAAAGGAAAGGAAGTAAATTCACAAATGGTTATAAATGAAGTAATGAAGACTTTTATCAGCCCCTACAAAGCGGGCTGTGTTTCTCAAGCAAACCCTGTATTTGCCAGTAGTGGAGCACAATGAAAAGAGCACGGTGGAGCTTTTACTGAAGAATCTTACACCACAGTCAGCAAAATCCTAAAAAGATATTTCCTTTCTCTACCTACTAAAACCTATAGAGTAATTAGCTACCTCCAAAGAGGTTTTGTGAGGATTAACTCTAAGAATGTAAAGTGCTTAAAATTGTAATGCACCACCGAAATAAATGTTTGAGAGAAAAACAAAGAGCGTATTTCTTAGATAAGGCTCAAAGGTCATTCGAATTTTAAAATCATTTGGGACCTTACCTAAGTCCAACCACTGATTAAGTTGTGGTCCATCCACAAAATGTTAAGAACAATGAGAAAGTTCAATGTGGAGTGATAGGAAAATATCTCCAAGACAAATTAAGTAAAAAAGCAATGTACTTGACTTATAGTGCGCCATCTTTAATGTAAAAGAAGAAAAAAGAAGAAATTAAGAAACTCTGGGAAGATATATAAGAAACTAAAAACAGTGAGGAAAAGACTGGTTTGATGTTAGACCAGGGGTAGAAGACGATTTTCACTGTTTTATTGTTTTGAAAAAATAATTACCTAGTCAAAAATGTACTACCTATTTAAGAAACTAAATATCTATTTTTTTAAAGTGGCTAGCCTAAGATCACATAGCTAAATCTACTTATCTTCAAAATCTATACCTTTTCTTCTACATTAACCTACCCCCTAGAGATTAAGAATAAAAGGACATATTCTACAGCAATATACCATGATTAATGGATGAATGAGATATAAGGGCAATAAATGAGCTCAGAAAAGAGAACTAGTGTGTGCTACAGTTGACATCACAGAGTAAATGAAAAAGTAACCTGGGCCTTAAAATAAGGAGAGCTTTTGGATAGGAAAAGGGGTTTTCGAAAATCAGAAGGCTTTCCAGATAGGGGAATAACATGAGAAAGTAGCTGATTAATGCAAAATTCTCAAGGTAAAAAAGCAGACATCAATCTCTCCCATGCCCACCCCTCTCTCTGCTTTTGGGTCTCATAGATCCTCCAACTTAAAGTCCTGGCAGGGACCCTGGACACCATACTGTTATCCTTTACATCTATATTATAGACAGTGAGTACTGGCTCAAAGAGATTAAATTTGTTTTTCTTATCTAAAGTTACTTAGCAGAACTGAGTCTAGAATTCAGGTTCCCTGGACCAAAACTCTCTAGCAATAAGGAACATTATGGTTTTAGTTCTCAGAAGTAAACAACGTTTTTTGAATGTGAGGTACCTAGTTCAATTCATTAATCACACTGAAGAAGATTTGGATTTGAACTCTAGACTTCAGCCTTGGACAATTAAACAGCACTTTTGTTAAATATAGGGATAGCTTAATTCAGTGATGATTTTCTTAACCACCTTTATTTAGTTAAGCAAAGTGTGACGGCGGCAGCACATTGGTAACAAGAACTCGAAATAAGGATACCTGAGTCTCAGCCCTGCTCGTGTGGTCTGTTCCTGCTCAGTGGTTTGCCATTTTCTCTTTTTAGATATTTTAATATTTTTGCTACTTACTCACTTAGTCTCAGTATACTACCTGCAAAATGAGAAGTTGGACTTGTCTCTAAAAAAATTTTTTAAAGTCCAATCCTTAACTGCCAACTCAAATTCGTTTCATGAATTCAACAAAAGAACTTTAATTCAGATCAGAAATTCTGCTTTTTTCATTGTTAGTAAGGCCTAGAGTAGAGAAGTCTTCTTCAAACAAAATAAACTGAATAACAGATAACTGAAAAGAGAAAAAAACTGTGTGCTACCTTTAAAACTTTTTAAATTTTATCAGCAATTTTTTAAAAGCTTACACAGCATCTCAAGTTTTTCTGAGAAAGTAAAATGTATACAGAAACCAAAATCTCGAAGGTCAGAATATAAACTAGTAATAAGAAGTAAACACCCCGTAAGCTTATACAGCAGCTGATGCTCTTTAGAGTAGACTCACTTTATCCATTAGTTGGTCTCGCCCCTGAGAAATAACTATTATTGCTATTTTATAGATGAAGAGGCTGAAATCAGAGATTAGGAGATATGTCCCAAATCACAAAGTTGTATGTGTAGTGAAAACTGAGACTAGAACTAGACTAGACTAAACCTCGTGCTTTGGTACCCTTTCTACTCCGTGTCACCCTGCCTATACAAAAGTGACTCTTGTTGCTAAGGTACAGTGATGAACTGGTGCTCCCCCAGCCCGACCTAGTCAGTTCTCCAGGACCCAACAAGATGGCTGGAGCTATTTAGCAGAGCCAAGTTAAATCCAGTGGTGAAGAACTACACATGCCTACAAATCTTGCTTTCCCTCTCTGGGATCCCCCATCTCTTAGCATCCACATTTGGGGGAAACTGTTCCAAGACACTGGCCTCCTCTTCGGATGAGGAAGTTGGAAGCAGGTCAGGACAAAAGCAATCCTGAGGAAAGAGAACTATACATTCTTGATTTGTAAAAGCACTGCCATTGAATCACTCTAATCAGAGTGTTTGCAAGTTTCTTGAAAAAGTTGAATTTAACCCACTTCAAATGCCTGTTCCTCCAAAGACCATTCTTTTAGCACTGACATGATTGCTAAGCAACTTCGCTCTCATTGACCTGATTTGAAGAATAAACTATTATTAATTACTACAATAAAAGATCCATAACCATGCCAGAAATTCATCTCTCCAGTTCCTTAATAGATGACGAGACGACTAATTAACTGCATGAGCCCTGCTCGCGTAGTCTGTTCCTGTTCAGTGGTTTGCCATTTACCCTTTTTAAGCATTCTGCTCCAACTGCCATGAAAATGAAATCAAGGATGATGAACGAATAACAGTGTTTTGACACACTGTGTAATGTTTACCCTCCTCTCTTTCAAAGATGTAAAGATTATAAAGGTTCTCTGAAATGCATCCCCCTGGTCTCACACAGTTTCCCTTTACAGGATGTGCGTAATGGGCAAAATTCAACACTGAAAAAAAGGGGGGTGGAGATCTCTATTGCAACAAGCTTATCTGAGCGGACACAATTATAGAATTATAATTCATAATGGCAATCTTTTTTTAAAACATGAAAATTCCTGTCTGAGTTATAAAATTTCAAGCTGATGGCAAATTACCAGAAAACTCTTCCTAACAATGAACCAGAATGACCAATTTCCTACCCATGCTATGCCCTGCCTTAAGAGCATTGTCTTAATAAAAGTCCTGCCCCTTACCACATGGAGTCATTTTCCCTTTCCTGACAATATCCTTTCATTCTGCTTGTCACTGCTTAAGTCTTGCTTGCTTTCTCTTATATTATCTTTATTATATTCAGCCTCAGAAATCTCAAAATCATCGCTGACTCACGCTGGGTGCTGTGGGAATGCAATAAATCACCATTCCAGACACTTAGCAAATTAATCTTCAAGTCCTGCTTATATCACTTTATCCCATTGTCTAAAATTCATCAAAAACCTACATAAGTAAAAACCAAGTAAATATGAGCTCTCAGGCCAGCCCTACTTTCCCTTCCTAGCTTTGTTTTTTCCTACCCCTCTGCACCAACTGTACAAATCTAGCCAAACGAGTTTACTCACTGTACTCCAAACAAACCCTATACCGCCCCATTTCCTCCTCCAGGCCTTTGCTCCAACCACCCCATCTCTATTTCTACCTAACACAAATGCCGTCCCTTTCTGAAGTCCTCACCACTCAAAATCAAGATGGTCTT